TTTTTTTAATGCAAATCCTGAATAATTATATTTAAAAATTTTTACCCTTATGAATCCATGCGCTATCATGATTAGGATTTATCTCATTAGCTTTTTCATAACACTCAAGAGCTTCTTAGAATCTATTTAATTTTCTTAATGCAAAACCTAATGTTTAATAAATAAACTGCCTTTATTTTTCCATGCATAATCATCTTAAGAATCAATTAATATAGCTTAATCTAAACACTCAATAGCCTCTTAAAATCTATTTAAGTTGTTTAATGCTAAACCTAAATAATTAATTTTCAAAATCTAATTACCCTTATTATTCCATGCATATTCATGGTTAGGATTTATTTCTATAGCTTTATCGTAGCACTCAATAGCTTCTTAGAATCTATTTAATGAATTTAATGCCCATCCTAAATAAAATTAAATTTTTATAACCTTTGTTATTCCATGCATTATCATGATTGGGATTAATTTCAATAGCTTTATTATAACTTTAAATAGCTTCTTCGAAGTTATTTAAACTATCTAATGCAAACCCTATATTCTTAACAACCAATAAACTACCTTTCCACACATATAAAATATAATCGTTATTAAATTATTTTATTGAATCATCAAATTTAATCAAAGCTTCTTTATACTTACCCTCATTAACTAATTTTTACCCTAATTTTTATTTAAATTGAATTTACCTTAAATAAATAATTTTTTAGCTTCTTATATTTTTTATTGATTCTACTCTTCACTGAACTTATTTATTTCTTCAATTTTAGCTTTATTCATTTTTCCAAAAATAATTTGATCATAACATTTTGTAAAATCTTTTTGTATAGTCTTGATTGTATTCAGAAAATTATTCAATTATATTATCTATTCTTCTATAATATTTAATATAATCAATACATATTTATTTATTATTTTCCTTCGAGTGGTACTGTTTTAATATATTAATTTACGACTTAAAGGACAAGTATTCTTTATTTGAAAGTCTTTAATTCATGCTTTCTAAAATTTTATTATTTTGATCCATTCTTTTAAAAATCTATTCAAAACAGTTCAACATGTCATTGTAGATTTCTTTAAACTATTTTGTTTATTCTTTTTATATTTGTATTAATTGATGAATGTATTTGCTTATTTTAGCAAATCGAATGCAATCATTTAAGTGATCTGAATGAGTGTTACTTAAGCATTCATAACAATATTAAGTTGCATATTAGCAAGTCTGATTTAAACAAAATCCAATTATTTCTTCATTTTCATGGCCAAGATAAGTGCACTTAAAGATTTACATTTTATTCTTAATTAAATAAATAATTTTTATTTCATTTATCTTTTCTTACTTATAAATTTTAAATTTAACTTTAAATAAATCATTTAGAAAATGATAATCATAGTCTTAAAAACATTAAAACAAAAATTGTATTTGACTTTTCTACTGCTAATGGAAGTTAAAAATTTAGTGATCTATAAATAAGATTTTTGAATTGTCTGGTATTTGAATTTGCGCATTTATAGAATTAAGAGGCTTCCAACTAGAGTTAATTATTCCATAAGAGTTTAACTTTCTAATTCATTGAAATAATTTGGTCACAATATTTGAAATGATTTACCCAAATACAATTCATTTGGTATTATAAAAGTAGAAATTTATTCAAGAAGATATTTTTGGATTAAATTTTTTATATTTTTCAACTATCATAGGTTTCTCATCAAATCCAGTTGACACTAAAAAACAAGTTTGTTAAAAATTTTTGGACAGTTTAATCTGAAAATCTTCTTACAATCAACTCTTTCATATCAAATAAAATTTAAAGAGGATTTTTATTGATTTGGTCTAAGCTGCCCAACCTATAAAATATTACTTTTCAGTAAAAGGAATTTGGTAATAAAAATATGGGTTTTAAATTGAATTACAAAAAATTATGGAATAATTACATGATTGTAGATTGAAATTAGGAAAAAAATTAATAAGTAATTTTTAAAGATAGAATTAGGTTTCGAAATTCCCATCGGTAAGCTCGATTCATTTTGGATGAAACTATTATACAAAACCTTTTTAAAATTATTAACTTGCTAAAGATAATAAAATACAAATTGAAATAAGATTATAAATTAGATGTATATGAAAATAATTATTTCATTGAAAATGTCTTAAACATGCTATATGAAAGCCAAGAAGCTCAGTTAATTGAAAAAATTTTTTAGAATTAAAAATGGCAATTTCTTTCATAATATAATAAAATCTATATCTAAATATTTAAGTGGGAAAAGAAAATATGATAAAAATAGAGTAAAAACGGCAAGAGTGATTGAAAGTTTTATATTTTCATGATTTCTTTTCGATTTGAAGAAATCTTGATTATTATTTACAGGAGATTAGAACAATAGTAAAAAAAAAAAGAAAAATGCTATATTAAAAAGATTTGAAGATACGAAGATTAACTTTATGAATCTGATGTTTTTCAATCACTAATCTAAAATGTATTGTTATTTTATTCTTCAATTATGTTTGAACATATTGGTAGATTAGTAATTGAGTTTGAGTATGATTCAAAATACTAACTTTAGTAAATATTCTATTCATTTTCTATAATTTAACCAATTTTCATCAAAATTATGATTTCTAATTAAATAATACAATAAACTCATCAATCCTTATATTGATTTACCAGAGTTTAATCTACATCTCTTTTATCTGAATTATAATTTGAATTATTAATAAACTCATTTATATAAATATGAATCTGATAAAATATATAGAGAAGGATTCAGGTGAGATTTCCTGATGTTTTATTTATAGAGTTGTAGTAGCATCATAATTGCTAAATTCTTATTTTTCTGTATAATGCAAAATGGAGTCTAAAATCCTTTTTTATAAAAGCAATTTATTTATTTTTTAATATCAATGAGACTCTACTCTCTTTTTAATATTTCGAGCATTTTAATCTCGTGTAAGCAGATGCAATAAAACGGTTGCTTTAATTTGACAGAATAATAATTAGACAGAATAATAATTAGAATGTAACTTACACTCTTTCCTTCTTATAGTTAGTCAAATTAATTAAAAATCTTTAAATAATCCAGAATGATTATTTAAAAATCATATTAAAATATGTTGAATATTAAGACTCTCTATAGATGTGATATGCTATCTATAAATTTACAAAACACAACTTTGGTAAAAATTACTTGATTTATTATCATTATACTTTCTCCTTGTAAAAAAAGCTTAAGGCTGTTAAATATATCTATATTTTAATGCTTTTTAAATTACCATAATAATTTTTGTATTGAAATTAAACCTTAAACAAAATGTAATCTTATGGATGTTATCATTTCCTTATTATATTATTGCTTTTGTTAAAATGATTCTTTTCCTCAAGATTTGAATCTTACTTTCATTCATCATAAATATTTTTCCACAAAAGAAAGACTTTTTATCAAACTAAATTATTCTGCAAAATCTTATTTTTCTATCAAATCTCTTAGATCAAAAACAAAGGCTGTGTTATTTAAGCAGTAATATTATGACTTTAGTACAACAATGAAAGTTAAAATAATTATTAAATCTATTTATATCCAAAATAAAAGATAAATTATCAAACAATGTTAAAAATTTATAATGAAATAATCATTTTATTTTATTATTGATATTTAAGTTACATAATTAAATTTGGAATATAAATTCATTTATCAAATTGAGTTATTTTTATTATGATTATCATTAAAAAACTAAATGTATATTAAATATTTAGTTTGTATAAAATAAAAAATCAACTAAGTTAAGTATATTTCAATGTATCAATTGTTTTTTTATTCTAATCCCAAACAATTAAATATTCGCCATCATTATTAATCGCGCCATAAATAAATTAAGTATCAAAATCAAGGGTTTAAACCTAATGGCAATCACCAATCTCTTATATTTCCATAATATTTATAGATCTGCAATTTTTACTCACTAGTATTGATTTTTTATTTGAGTATTATTAATGAAAGAATTAGCTGCAAATTTTTCCTCCTGCTACTTTTACTTCTTTTATTTTTATAAACTCTCCATTTGTTTTATTAAAATCAAATATACACATGATTTCTTTGCAATATGGTTAGAAAGTAAAACGATTTTCGCCAATAAAACATAACCTTCTTCCCCATTATTCTGTAATAGTTTATACAACATTCCAAGTTTGTTGAATGCCTTAAGATATTTGTTATAATACTAAAATTTATCCATCCTTTCCACAAGAGATAACTTTTTAACCTGAATTGCTCAAACATAAACTAAATACACTATCTGTATGATTTGTTATAGTTTAAATACACTTCCATTTATTGAATTTTGCCCAAAATTTTATTGTCCAATCTTCACTACTAGAAATAATTAGACTTTCATCTAAATTTGATATTACACAAGTTATAAGATTTTTATGACCAACCAGAACTGCTATTTCTTTTTGTTAAGCCATTCCAACATTTAACCAAATTTTAATTTTTTTGTCCCTTCCAGCAGATATAAAATAATTTGATTGTGACATAAACTTTAAACAAGTTACAATCCATTCATGTCCATGAAATTTGCAAATTTATTTTATCTAACCATTTTTAAATTGACAAGCTTTAATATCGGTTTGGCAGCCCAAAAGAATTAAAGTAGATTCTTTATTAATTTCAATAGTATCACACCAACCTATTTGTACTTGTGATGAAATTTTTTTAAATTTGAATTTAGGTAATTATAATTCAATTTTGCCGGTTTATCTAAATTAGCTAATAAAATCAAATGTTTAATTAGAGTTCTCCAAAAGTAATTTATCAGTCCACAATTTTAAATGTTAAATTTCCTCCTGTAACTAAAGATTTTCAATATTTTCTATCAAAATTTTCTTGATTTCCTCAAAATTAGTTTGATTTACTTAAGTTTAACAAAGCTGATCAATCATCAAGTCAATATCATCAATTGATATTTTTTCTATAAAATCTTTTTAATTACAATAAGATTTGGCAACAAGTTCTATTAATTAATCTATTCTTTAAAGAAATTTATTAATTTTTTATTCAATTTAATTTTTATAATTTATTAACAGTTCTTTCTATTTTTTAAAAATATAAATTTTGAATTCTTTAATTTCATTGGCTTCTTCTAATATATTTTTTTTTATTTTTAGCAGTATTGTTATGAGTTCATCAATTAGAATATAACCACTTTAAATTTCAGCTATACATTGAAGGCAAAACTTGTTATTAGCTTAACATCTTTTGTTGATTATAATGGAATCTTATCCATGTTTATTGCAAGTAATATTTGAAATTTTCTAAGAAACTTAACGAAGCCATTAATAATCATCATCTGTTGTGGCATTGCTAAAGATTCCTTAACTATTTGATTAAAGTTTGATCATTTAATCATGAATAGACATTACCTGACTATTAAAATCAGAAATTGATACTAACTCTGGATTTTATTCAGTTAAACACTTGAGGCATAACTTTCTTTATGAAGGAATAGTTTCTTTTAAATTGAATAATAGAATCTCCTTTTAATGAATAGAACATTATTATTTAAATTCCAAGTTCATTTTTTTTATTATAAATTTTTTGATTAATTTGAAAAGTGAGAATGATGAAATAATAGAATTAAGTTTTTTATATATAATTTATAAATTTATTTCTTAATTTGTTGTTAAAGAAAAATAAAATTATTAATTCAATTTTCATTTAAATAGTCTCATTCTTTATTTGAAAATTAAGAAATTCGTTATTAGTTTAACTTTTTCTAATCACTTGAAATTAATTTACAACTAAATCAAACTCTAAATTATGATACCCAAAGATCATTTTTATAACTATTTAATTGGATAGTATATATAAAACTAAATCATTAGAGAACTTTTAGCACATTAATTTTTGATTTAAATATTACAAAATAAAACTACCGTTCGCTTATTCCCTTAAAATAAAAATGTAATGATTAATTCTAAAAAAAAAATTTATTTTTACTATTTTGATTTATCTAACTATATTACTGTTGTTAATATAACTTATAATGATTTATTTCTTTAATTAAATCATTTATTTTCTAACTTTAAACTTTCAAGATCAAATAGGTAATTCTAATACCCAGCCCCCCCCATAAATGTTAAAGGAAACATTGTGAAGAGAGTCAAAATAAGCATGAAGGAAGAGATAATAAATAATAATTTATCCAATCTAAAATTTTTCTTGATTAACTCGAAAATAAAAATTAAATAAGGAAATGTTTACTTGAATTTGTAATATTAGCAAAATCATTCATCTCTTTACTTACATAAACTTAAATTATTTGAAAGAAAAACTAAAGAGAATTGATTTAAAAGTGTTATGACATGATTAAGCGAGAAGATTAATTATATATCAACATAATAAATTCAAGTACTTAAGTTTCAGAATTATTTTAATCTCTGCTAGAACTGATGAGTGAAAAATTTTAGGATGGCTCATTAAACAAATAGAATAAATTAAAAGAGAATTGCATGAAATAGTTAGATTAAGTTAATTAATGGCTAAAGATTATTGTAGGAAGAAAATATTAATGAATATGGGTTTGGACATGAGAATGGAATATTAGCATCTTAAGAGAAGTATTGAATTTAGTTATTATTTACATATACTACCCTAATCCGATTAATTTTTCACGCTTCGATTATTCAGCCCATAATCTAGCATTTTTAAAAAGTAATGAACTTCTCATTTTTAAATTTGATGAATATAAAAATTATCTTTAAATGTAAGTGAAATGGAAATAAACTATTCAAAATTTATTTTTGAATATACTTATTTCGTTTAAATTAAAAGTGAAACAAAAGTATATGAGGTTTATGGGTACATAAAACGAAAGGATAGGAAAAAGAAAATACATATATATAGATTAGGAGAAGTTTATGAATAATTTTCAATTTAGTGATGGAAAATATATAATTTTTAAGGTAAAAAAACAGAAATATGGATAGAGTTAAGCGATACATTTTGGGATGACAAATTTGTAGATTTTCATGGTTCATATTAAAATAATAAAAAAAAGGGGTAATAGTTTTTTTTTTATTTTTAAAAAGTGTAAATAAATGATATTATATTTTCATTCGAGGAGGATCTTATTAATTAATCGAGAGAGAATCAAGAGAAATTGAGATGAAGATCGAATTGCGCGATGAATTTAAATTAGTTTCTCAAATCACGTATTATGGCGAATATAATATGAATGGAAATAAAGTTGGGAGAGAGAATACATAAAAAAAATGAAAGATACTTATTAATTGCCGTATTTATTATTATAAATATTTTAAATAATAGTTACTTAAAATTACAGTGCACAATAAAGTTAGATTAATGAACTGTAATTAAATAAAAATTTCGATTTTTTTAAAACAACATAATCGGATATATTTTACATAGGGAAAATAAAAAATTGTAAGAAAATTGGTCAATGGGATTTTGTGTTAATATTATATAAATATAATTGAAATCTGAATAGATTTTGATTTTACTACTATAATTGAACCATAAAAATAATCTAAACTAATTAAATTATGAAATATTAAAACAGAATAAGATAACTTAAAAACTTTATTGTACCATAAAAAATAATGCCAAAATTACTTGGATTATATATGATAAATTGAAGCAATTTTCAAACTTTTGTAAGTTGATGATTAAGATTTTGATTTAACTAATTATTTTATATTGATTAATTTTGTAAAATCTAAATTTAAACTGTTAATTTATTTAAAATTAATTCTTATCATAATTGTGGCAATAAAAGCTAATTTTTATTAATTCCTTATCTATATTTTTTAATGTGAATTTTCAAGTTCCAGCTTAAAATAAAAAAAATGAATACTCAAGAAAATTGTCATCAGGTTCAATCCATTCTCCATTCTTCAAACCTTTATCATTATAGTTTCCTCCACCTCTACTATACTCAAGAATTATTTACAAAACATGCCCTTAATAAAAAATGAACCATCTCCCGCACCTTCTTCCATTCTGAAACTCACCAGCATATGTTAATTGACAATATCTTAATGCATTATAATTAAACAACCTTTAAAAGTTATCCTTAATTTCTATCGTTTTTCCATCTTTAAGTTAGAATTCATTTTATGAACCTCCTCCGCTTAAATAATTAACAAAGTTTTACATAATGCCACCTTTATATAATATGTACCAATCTTCAATCTTTCTTCCAGAAATATATTTACCACTATAAGATATTTATCTAAATCTATTCTCAATAAATTGAATGATACGTTTAATAATTATCATCCAAATCTGTCCATTGGCCGTGTTTAAGACCCATTTCATTATACGATCCTCCTCCACTTAAATGAAAATAATTTTTTAGGATACATATTCATTGTTTTATTTGATTAAAATGCTTTCCAACATCCAATTTTTTTACCTTTTGAATATAACCCTTAATAAGTAATTTCTTTTAAACTAAAGTATAATTAATATATACCTATTATAATTCTTAATTGGTTCTATCCATTTTCCTACTTTAGAGTGGTTCTCATCATAATATCCTTTGCCACTAATATAATTTTAAATAATATTTAACATAAATAATCCTTTGTTAAATACTTCCCATTTTCCATATTTTAAACCATCTTGATAGAATCCTTCTCTAGTCATTTAATTTGAACTATTTAATTTTATTAATCTCTTTTTACTTGTAATAATTATCATCTAAATCTAACCATTTACCGCATTTTTAGCCAAATTAATTATATTCTCCATAACCACTATTTGTGAAATTGATTCCATACATTATTATTTTAAAACGAATAGCTTCCCATTTTCCACATTTTATTCCATGCTTGTATTCACCAACATAGGTTACTTATTTAATACTATTTTAATAATCTCAAAATTGAACTACTTGCAAAAATTATCATCCAGATTCTCCCATTTTCCAATCTTAAACCCATTTTCATCATATTAACCACCACCTCTAAAGATCGTTAAATATTTTCATACATTATAGTCCCAAATCTTAATGTATTCCATTATCCATATTTTTTTCCATTTTAGTATTCTCCAATATGAATAATTTATTTATAACTAATAATAATCTAAACTAAATACACTCTAAATTGTTAATCTAGCTCAATCCATTTTCCAATCTTTAAACCATAATCATTATATTAACCTTCGCCACTAAGCATATTTATATAATTACATTTTCTCTCCTTTGTATGTAGTTTTCCATAATCCTTATTTATTTCCTTTGTAGTACAAACCTTTTTATTGAATATCAATTTATCTAACTGTATTAATAAATTTAACTAATTGAAATTATTAAGTAATTCTATCCACACTCCATTTTTTAGTCCTTCTTCATTATAACAACCCCCACCACTTATAAAATGCTAAAAAATTTTTACATTTCTATTCCTTTAGAAAAATAATTCCATTAATTTAATCTAAGCCCATTTAAAAATGTTCCAACTTCAGTTATACAATATACTCTTTAATTATAATATTAAATTTACTAATTATAATTCTTATTCACTTCTATCCATTTTCCATTTTTCATCCCATAATCATCGAAATTTCCACCTCCACTAAGAATAAAAATTATGATACATTATATTGCCGTTTTAAATTGTATGCCATTTTCCTTTTTTTACTCCATTTTCGTATACTCCGACATATATCATGTCGTTGTAATTACTAAGATGATCATTTAATAATTTACTCACAAAATTATTCATTTATGTCAATCCATTCACCATTTTTAAGTCCATTTTAATCATAATAACCTCCTCCACTAATATTATTATCATTATTAATACATAATTTCTCTCTAAAATATCGTATTCCATTAGCCTTATTTGATGTTATTTTTATAATCGCCTTAAAAGCTAATCTAATTCCAGCTTTAAATAGTAGATAAAATATAACTCATTGAAATTAAGGTGTATATCAGTCCATTTACCATGCTTTTATTCTTATTAATTATAAAACCCCCCACCACTAAAGTATTATTGATAAATAAAATACATTATTTGCCCAAATTACATAGTTTCCCAGTTACCTTACTTTTTTCCATTTTAATAGTTTCCAATGTGAAAAACTTGGCAAAAACTATTATAAATAGTAGTGGTAAAACTACTTGCTATAATTATGATCTAACTCAATCCATATTCCTATCTTTTATTCTTATTCATCATAAAATCCGCCTACCATTAATTTCTCTCCTTTCCAAAATGCATCCCATTTCCCTACTCTTTAATTATTCTTTCCATAATTTCCTTCCCAATTTAAATATTTAATTTATTCAATATTTAATATATTTTGTGATTAATATTATTACTCTTTATAGTGGGATTACTATCTATACATTATATAATATTTAAACTATCTAATAATTTCTCCATTGTAAGAGTAGATCAAAGTTCTATTTTTTGATTCTTTAATTTAATATTCAGCGCTCCAAAAATATTATTTATATTTATAAGGATCATAAGATGCTAACTTGCCTTACAATTCAGAATTCTTTTCTTCGAAAATTAAATTATCAAAATTATTCTATCTCTATTCTTAAACTTGGCTTGGTTATTATTTTCTATCGAATAACCATGACCATGCTTTTTTCATTGAATTTCGATAATTTGAAAATATATTATTTGAATATAAAATTTAGTGAATTGATGAAAAACAACTAGTTAAAAAAATAAATATTTATTTATCATTAACTCATTAATATCATTTATTTAGGGATTTATTTTATCATAATGTCAAAATAATATGATTTTTCTGGAAATCAGTTAGGCATTTCATTTTGACCAATAATTTTTTTTGTCTGTTATACCACTTTTTCATGAGCACTGCCTAAAAAAAGAGTTTTTTAAAGGAAATTCCTTCTCAAATCCTTCATATATTGTTCAATGCGCCCAAACATAAACTTACTATACCAAACTTAAAATTAGAATAGAGGCCTTGAAAAATAAAAAAATTTCTCTGGAGTTGTTTCTTATTTTCGAAAAAATGAAGTAGGCCGGTTTCAAAAACGGAAGGAATATTAGAGATTCCAAAACACATAATTAGTATAACTCAGGTAAATATATCATTAAAAAGTTTAAAATAGATTTTTATCTCTTTTAAGGAGAATTTAAAACACAATTTTCTTATCATGAAATTTGAAACAAATTATATGAGGACAAATCGATAAAACCAAAGACTACCTTTAATTTCTAGATCACAGTTATTTTGACTTAAGACATTATTTACTTTTCAATTGTTTCAAAATATCTCAAACGCTTTAGGATGGTACTCGATTAGAATATGCTCATCCTTTTAATTTCAAAAAGGTTTTAATTTTAAGGAAAAGAAAAACTGCCTAAAGTCATAATTCAGCAATTATCTATTTTATTGTTAAATGATAATTTCGATCTCTCATGTGCATCTATAGGTCTTGATTATTTTATTATTCATTCTCGCTTAACCTTGAGTGACATTCATAAAATTAGCTATAACTGAATTTTTGAATCCATCCTCTTAAAGTATCTTTATTTTTAAGTTATGCTCACATTTCTTTTTATTTTTTATTTCTTTATCGAACATTTATTCCTATTTGGGCATTTCTTGATAGCAGGAATTACTTATTTAACATACCTAAGGTATTCATCTAATGTCAAAGGCAATAAGAATCTACAATTTAAAATTAAAGCTTATCTTTGACTACTATATTCTTGAATTCAAGGCATTATTTGCTACATGTTTTAATTGATAATCTTGATAGTCTTGATTGATTTTTATTTCATATTCGTTAAAATTAATTTTAAAACAATTTCAAAATATTCACTTTGAATTTAACATTAATTTGTTTTAAAAAATTTTAAGCGGTAACCAAATAACAGCACATTATCATATAATAAATTATTGAATATAATAGAATAAAGTTAAGCTGAAGGGATTCCTATCAAAATTTCAAAGGTTAATCCAATTAACTGATTCCTTTCATATATTGGACTTGAAATTTAAGGTAATTAAATATTTGCCTAAAATTACTCAACTTTACATCCACAAACGAAAGATGTAAATTGGCATATTGTTAAGACCTGTAAGAAATAATTCGTATTTACGGTATTACTTCAAATAGAATTGCACTTATTATATAAATAATGAATTATATACTCTTAAATTATTTCCTATTAAGTAAAACATAATAATTAATAATTAAATTTACTTAAGATAATTGTTTACTTAGAAATCTTAGGAAGTTCCTAATCAATGTAATTCAGTTAAATTTCAAAGAACTATATAAATGATTTAAAAACCATAATTTTTATTGAAAATTATTAATATTTTTTATAAAATTTGATAAAGGAAATTGTTAATATTAATGCAATGATTATATTTTAGATGATGATAAATAATGAAATTAACTTGCCGATCTGAGCATTAAATAATTTTTGTCATTGCAAAAAATATATGTTAATAATCATATTGGTAATATTATTTAATCGTTTACACCTTCAACTTAGGCTTTTCAATAACAGCTTCTCATTCCCTAGTTTCTGTTATAATAACTTTTTTGGCTATCTGCTTTTAAGAGCCAGCTAATAGTGACTCATATATTTAAAATTTAAATAAAATGATTAATATCAAAATAATAGAAAAAAATGAGTCTTAGAATATGCTTTGCATCAAAAACCTTTTTCTTTTGTTTTTAAACTTCTAGAAATTTTCATAACTCAGAATAATGGAATATATTTTAGAGTTTCTAAACTTGCCAATAAATTTAATAAAAGGCTTTAGAATTAAATAAATAAAAATTTGAAATAAAAAAAAAAATTCTTAATTTCTTATTATAAAGGATGTTTTTAATTAAGAAAATCTTTGGAAACAAATTCTCTCATGAAATATTAAATAAATTTTAAAAGAATTTGCTTCAAATCTGATATGCTATTAACTCTGATAATTCATTGGTTGCTATAGGCTCTATTTCTATTTCTGGATAATTTATTAAATATTAAATAACCCTCTATAAATTTTAATTATAGCTTGATTTATTCTTCAAAATTCTCATTCAATATTAATTATAAATTTGTTGATATAAAATAATGCTCCAATCTAATTGTTATCTTTTTAAATAAAGTAGCCGAAAAAAAAATTAATCTATTTTGACCTTATATTTCTAACATTATTTATAAACGAAAATTAATTTTAAATATACTTTCTCAAAAAAGTTATTTCATTTTCGAAGACGAAATCAACTGATATCTATAGAGATATGTGATATGAAATTTTAGAAATAGAGAGCTTAATATAGATATCACACAAGAAAAAAAGTAGGAGGAATAGGGATGCCCGAAAAATCTAATCTTATAAAAAGATAGTTTTTAAATAAATACTAATTTACTAATTTTAAGTAATTAAAAAGGTAAAAATAAAATCACCTGATAACAAAGCTTGGTTAATTTTCAATACGGCTACCATACCTGTTTCTATATTACTAGCTTTCTCTATGTCATTTAAACATTTAGGATTAAAAATACAAAGAATTAAAGCAAGACTTAGAGTTAAAAGAATGGAGGTAACTGTTGGGAAAAGGAAGATGAAAAGGGCCTAAAAATGAAGCTTATATATAAATTAGTATTAACTGTGGAATATTCTTTAAGCTAAGATGATATTACGAAGCATTGATTTATCTATTGATATTTGCAGCTTAGAGGAATATTGATTATTTTTAGGAAAGTATTTACTGATAAGAAATGCTTTTATAGGTTCCCTTTATTTCTAATTCTTCTAAAGTTTTGGGCCTTTGACTCGAAAATATTATAAATAACGATTAAATATTTACAAAAAATTGGTCCATTAAATGAAAAATAATTAAATGAATACTGCAATAAAGAAAAAAATTCATTGTGATAAGAATTATTAGTTAATCATTGACTCTAATTTAAATAATCTTATTAAATATCTATCAATAAGTTCTTTTTCAAAACCATCAAAAATGATTAAATCATTTATACATATACTCAAATTTTCTACAATAAAATACAAAAATTCTTTTTCTGATAGTTTAATATTGAATAATATATCAAATAAATTAAGATATAATCTAGTTTAAGAAATAAAACGATTTAGATCTGCTTCTAAACAATATATTCTTAATCAAAATAATATTTTAACAATTATTAAGATGTAATATTTGATATTTCAATTATATATTTAGATCAAAAAGTTCTAACAATAAATCAGTTGAAAATATATTAGTTGCATATTACCTTTATTGAACATTTACACAATTTCTTCTATTTTTTTTGACTAATAGTGTTATTTTCATATTATGATGTCACTTAAATAATTATAAAAATTGAAATTTTTCTTCTAAAGATTGTTTCATTGTATCAATTACTCTTTATCTTTCAATTGAAGTATTACAAAAAATGTATGAATTAAAATTCTTAATATTTGCTAGACTGCTGCCAAATATCTAGAATTATTATTAAATATTTCTGATAATGCTCTTACTTCTTTTTACACTCAATTATGTACTTTAGTTGGATAAAAATAAAAGTTATTCGCTTTTTAACTTTAAGTTGAGCAAGTGAAGATAGATCTCATAATTGGTGCTACTATATAATTAGAAAAAGTATTACAACAGAGAGTCCAACGTCATAAGCTCCTGATACCAATAAATAATCTCTATTTGAAAAAATTTTTTAGAGGAGATTTAATCTCTGCTATTAAAACACAAATAACTATTTATTTGCTGATAGGACTCTAAAGGTTTTTAAGTAGGTATTAATTGCCAAGCCAAAATGATAGTAAAGTATTTCAATACGATGATTTATTAAAATGTTAATCCGTAATCCCATAATTCATTATCAAGCATAATTATGGATATTTATGTCAAATTTATTATAATATATTATAGCGACCTAATTTAGAAGTTAATTCAACTCAATCTGGATTTTAAATTCATTAGTGTCATTTTATCATCAAAACATGTGAACTAATCAATCTTATATTTAAATAAATTTGTTATTGGATAAACACATAAATAATTTTTTTTTGATGTTTTTAAATAAATTCCATAAAAGAAAATGAAAATAAAAGAACACTAAGGCTTGTGAATCAAGTTAGTTTTTTCAATTAAATATGGATCATATTCTCTCTTAATTATCGTAATCTAGAGTGATATTCATTAAAAATTTAACAATAACATAATAGAAAATCTAAGACTTTTGTTAAATTTTCACTAAATATTAAGTATGTAGGGGAATTGTAAATTGTATTAATGAATATTAATATTCCAATATTGAAATTTGTATAAATTGGAACAATATATTGTTATAAGTGAATATGAATTATTAGAATGAGAAGTTAAGATCTTGATAAAGGAATCCAAAGAAAATTACTTTTAATGATCAAAATTATGATAAGTAGACAGCCTGATTTATAAAATTCATTTAATAAATGATGGGTTATCTATATACAAAACTGTGTTTAGTATGAAGGTTTAAATTTTTTAAAACTTTTTAAAGCTTAACCCTCTTAAAATAATCATGACCCTAGTACTCATTTTTTTAGTCCTAATAAAATTAGGACCTTAATAAATTCATTATTTTTTACAAATATTTGAATTTTAATGCAGCATAAATATTGCAAATGATATTATTCAAAAGCGAAATAAAGTTTATATTTAAGACTTGACATGACTGTATATTTAACTTCTGTAAGTTCTCAAAAATTAAATTTTATACTTAATTAGGAATTTTTTTAATTTCTTTATTCTCTTATTCATCTTACTTTAATTAAATAAACTAATAATCAAATTAATTTCAGTTATACTCTATATTTGTTAACTTAAAATTTGGCTTAATCATTATTTAACTGATGGATTTGTAAGTCTTAATCATCAAAACATGTTGAGAAAAATTTTTTTAATTAACTATTTCTTAAAGTAGTTTTTTTATTAATAATAATTTTATTCAAATGTTTAAATAATTTGAATTATAATATGTCTCTTATATAAAGAAAATCGAACTTTTTTGTCTCTATCTATTATGAATTACCAAAGAATATATTGATTATAGCATTTTAAAAAATATCAATGAAGCATAAAAGATGTAATAACACTTAATTTGCTTTAGGAATAAATCCAATTTATTTCTGGTGTTGATGATGCTATAAGGTTCCTATTTTTTATTTTAGAAGAAATCTTTTTCAGCATCATTGAATTTTCTTTTCAATATAAAATCCTAAAAAATTAATTTAATCATATGAGGAATCAAATTAACATTAAGCTGGCAAATATAACAAGCAGTTTAGTTGGATCACGAAGATAGAATATTCTTATAATTATCTATGAAGATCAATCAAACATGTATTTGCAACGTCGGATAAATTACAAATAACTATTCAAGTAACTTACATTATTAGAGAAAAATAGTTTAATAAATTAAAAAATCATGAAAATGATCTTTTTATTATTCTTATCATTTAGATTCATTAATTTATAGATCTTGGGATACAATTATAAATGTAAGTTCTGATATAGAAAAGCACTTTAGAAATTTGTGCTTATATTGGTCTCTAATATTAAGAACAACATATTTTATTCTTGCGATGAAAAAAATATAAATCACTATTCAAGAATGTGACAAACTATTGACTGCAAAACAGATGAATCAGAACCGAAGTTTATAGAACCTTCGCTTTAATTGATATTACTTATTGTAAGATATTGGAAGAATGATTTTAAGAACGAATAGGAATTGCTGTTCACGATTTGAATGTTTCGAAAATTCAACTAGCCTAATTACTAAAGGTTAAGTAAACTTTTAAGACTATAATTCAAATCTTATAAAGTTTAGTAAAATCATTCTTATAATAATATTTTTCAAAAACAAAAATTTGCTATAAAATATTTTATTCACTTTTTGTATCAAATCTTTAGGAAAAATAGTCGCTCTCATTATAATTTTAATTTCAATATCATGCAATTACAATGTTCTTCTCTGAAAATCTTAATTTAAACAATTTAGTTGTACTTTTAAGTTTAATTCTTATTGCATTTGGCACTTTTAAGTTTAAAGCTTAAATAGACCCAACATATGTCGTCATAAAATATGATAGATTCATTTTTATGTTAGGCCTTAGCAGAATTTGTGTTGATTGTTTTAATGGTTATAAAATATGTTATTTATTCTAGAATTAGTAAAATTTTAACTATTAGCATATGAACTGCTCAAATTTTTCAATCTCATAAGAAAAATATGAAAATAAAATGAGACTTAATTTAATATTATACAAAGAATATTAGTTAGTGATTATAATATACTAGATGCCAGAAAAGTCAGTCTTATTTTTCTCAATATATTCTTATAAAATTTAATTTCCTTTTTGTCATTATAATGTTGGGATTTTTTTTTATTACTCTCCTTAATTTCTTATATCCTGAAAAACAATCTTTTTGACATTGAGTTTACTATATTTCAGCCCAGTAAAATTTTTCAGGCAAGAGACTAATTTCATAATTTCATTATATTATGAGTTCATAATTTTATTTATAATCGATTGGATTTAAATTTCAAGATTTTCATGATTATTTTGTTTCCTACCTTAAAAATTGTTAAGTTTAACAAAGAATGAATTAGCCATCACTTCCTTAACTTATATAAAAACATCCATCCATAAAAAATAATAATTATTATAAAAATTTAATTAATTTCACTACTCTCTTAGTAAAATATTTTTACATAAAATTTGTCAATAATTTAATTATAGACATATTAAAATATATTTGTACTAATATAAATATATTTAAGAATAAAGATAATTTCATTCCTTATACTTCCTAATTTAGATTTCCTTTGTTTTATTATCCCAAGTGAGTAAATATTCACCATCATCACTTATGTCTCCATATATCTAATCTTCAATAAGATTAATAGAATAATCCAGTTAAAATTATTAATTGAAATTCAATCTGATAAAATTAATATGGCTTCCATTCTTACTGACTAAAAACTATTTATTTTTTATAAATTTCTAAGGAAAGAAACTATAACAGCTATTTCCATTCTTTATTAACACTTCTTATTTTTAAATGTATTCTTCATTAATCTTCTCGTATATAAGCATTTTATTATGATTATCAGGCTGAAAACTAAATAAGTTTTAATTAATAAAACAAATTCTATATCCAGATTATTTAACTATAATTGTTTAAATGATAATCCATGTCTTATTTTATTATATAATTACTAATATTTTATTATCATATCCACATGATATCAATTTATTTTATTCCTCAATTAAACTTAAACTATATACACTTTTAACATGGCTTGAAATAGTTTGAAGACAAGACCATTTAGTTTATTTTTGCCAAAAAAAAAACTAATTACAATTTTGTCTTCTCCAAAATTTTATTTGTTTATCACTACTTCCAGATATGATAAGATCTTGTGCATTATTAGTTATAATACATAATATAGAACCTTAGTGATCATTTAAAGTATAATTACACTCCCATTAATTTTCTATATTTTTTTTCCATATTTTTATTGAATTATCTCGACTCCCTGAGACAAAAGAATCCGATTAATTCATAAAGTATAAGCAATTAACATAATCTGAATGTTCGTTGAGGACTTGAATTTCTTTTAATAATTCCTCTTTAAATTCAAAAATTCTAATATTTGATTTACATCCAGCAATAACTATTGAATTATTTTTATTTATAGCAATAGAATAACAGAACTCTTATTATTGTAATGAAGATTAACTAAGCAATTCATATTCAAATGATTTCTACTCTTATTATTATTAAAAATTCTCTGTCTTCTCGTTTAATTCTTCACTTTCTATTCCCTATGATGTTACTTCTTTTTTAAATAATTAAGAATTCACTTCAACAGGATCTAAAATTGTCAAAATTACTAATAAATTTCTTTAGAAGTTAAAAAAATTAGCTTTCAAAGATTAACTCCAAATTTGACCTAAATCTAATAATTCATTTTCTTCCTGTTCTCCTTTATTAAGTAGCATACTTATTTTATCAGCAATTTCAATTATTCTTTATTGCGATAATTCTGATAATTTTGCATATGTTTTAACTTTGGAATATTCAATTTATTGAATAAATTTCTAGTTACTATCATTTTGTTAAATATCATACTAAGAAATTAAATTACATATTTTTTCTTTAAAATCTATTAATAATTAACCATATTTTTCTTAATTCTAAATAATGAATTTTTTTTTTTATTCAAGTACATTTTTCTGATTTTTCTAGTAATTTAACCAGTCTTTATAAAATTTATTAAGCTCTGTATATTTAATATGATGTTCTGCTATGCAATCTGAACAAGCCAACCTATTAGGTATTGTTTTTTTCTCATTTAAATCAATTCGAATTATTTATTTTTTATGATTATCACATTAAAGATTTAAATTAATTGCTTATTCTTAATCACTCTGATCTAGATTTAAAATTTCCTATTTATATGATTAGCATTAAAAACCGAATTTCTTGAATATTTCTTCTAATTTACTTATAAAATTTAATGAGCTTATTAACCCTAAATTTTTTATGAGAATCTCTTTTATGCCTCCATAATTTGGCAATTATTGTTCTATTTCTTAATATTTTTTTTAAAAAAATTATGTATCATTTATGGGAATTTCTTTGATTAAGTGATTAAAATTTTCCACAGATTTTTTGATCAGATCTGTTTATTAATCAATACATTTAAGGAATTTATCTAATTAGAACATTAATTATGATTTAAATTATTTCACATCTTCTTTTCCTTAAAGTAGAATTAACATATTCTTGTTATATAGCTCCTCATTTTCTTATTATATTTTAATTTTTAATCCTTTTAATTGTTATTGAACATCAGTAATTAATACTAAATCATCTTTCATCTCTGTAACACAAAATGAACATAAATTTCTTAATGAAAGATCTGCTTATGATGGGTTGTGAAAAATAACATATTCATTGTGCTTAATACATTTCTCTTAATTCATATGCTTAAAAATTATATGTTTTAAATATTATTAATAATTTTTTTACATGTTTTTTTCTATAATTTGAATATAATATTCAAAAATTACCCCTTTATCAAAAGCAAAAAGATCATACTTTGATAAAATACAGAAAGAAAAAGAAATAAATGCTTATTTTTATATCAGACTTTTAAATTAAATTAATTTAGTTGATTATACTTAGAGGATTAATAATATTTTTTCTAAAAAATAAAACTTAAATTTAAAATACCTAATTTCAAATTACACTAAATATGAAATATTTTTATAATCTTGTTGAGTTACAATATGAAAGTTTTATAATTGTATATAAATGAAAAATTGAAAAATTTAAAAGCCTTCTTCTAATTGTAATTAATTAAA